TAGCCGGTTGAGCTATAGGCGCCGAGCCTCTCTCTGGTTTTCTGTTATCAAATTACTTCTTTTCATCCTTTAGACCTGTCCTAGAATGCAGCGGTGCTCACTATTGGTGGCATGTAAGAACTTGCAAAAAAAATCCCAATACTTAGATCCTTTCCTAAAGAATCTGATTTGAATTGGTCTGGGAAGTGGCCTGGCATGGGGCATTTTTTAAAGCTTTGCAGGTGATTCTAATGTGCACCTAAGACTGAGGCCCATTTGCACTTGTCTATTCAGGGGTCCTTTATATAAGGTCTTAGGGGGATCAGGGATGGTCTGTGACCTGCAGAAAATGTATGCAAAATGTTCCATATATATATGTGTGTGTACATATATATATACACATATATATATATATATATATATCTGTGTATTTTTGTAGAACAAAAGTCCATAGCTTTCAATAAAATCTTACAGGAGTCTGTGTCTCAAAATAGTTTTAAAAACATCCACATGGATGTGGGGAAATAAGAAAACATATCCTCTGTTGTTTGTAGAAGTCTGAATCGGTACAGTCTTTTTAGAGGACAATTTGGAAGCAGCTATCGAGAGGTAAAAGGCATATCCCTTTCAATCCATTAATTCATTTCTGGGAATCTGAGCTGCACACAAAGACATATGTATAAGGATTTTCTTGAAGCATTATTTGTAATAAGAATCACTGAACACAATCTAACTTTACAGATGGATGGTGAATAAACAAATTATGTCTCATCTACTCAACATAACACTAGCTGTTCTGTTACATATAGAGAATAATATGGGTTTGCAGGTGCTGAGTGCAATGGTCTGCAAAACATTTTATTAAACAAGTAAAGAGCATTGATGAAAAGTGTAAGTCCATTTGCTGAAAAAAAAAAACTTAAATAAATGACATATCCTTCTTCCTCCCTGGCTGCCTGAGGATCGACTGCTGTCACGAATGACGCAGTAACTATCCGGACCAGGAAGTTCATGACTAACCAACCACTTCAGGGGAAACAAATGGTCATTGATGTCCTTCACCCTGGGAAGGCAATAGTACCAAAGACAGAAATTAGGGAAAAACTAGCCAAAATGTACAAGACCACACCCAATGTCACCTTCGTATTTGGATTCTGAACTCACTTTGGTGGTGGGAAGACAAGGCTTTGGCATGACTTATGATTCTTTGGATTATGCAAAGAAAAATGAACCTAGGGGTGGTGCCTGTGGCTCAGTGGGTAGGGTGCTGGCCCCATATACCAAGGGTGGTGGGTTCAAATCCGGCCCGAGCCAAACTGCAACAACAACAACAAAAAAAATAGCCAAGCGTTGTGGTGGGCATCTGTAGTCTCAACTACTTGGGAGGCTGAGGCAAGAGAATCCCCTAAGCCCAGGAGTTGGAGGTTGCTGTGAGCTGTAATGCAACGGCACTCTACTGAGGGTGATAAAGTAAGACTCTGTCCCTACCAAAAAAAAAAAAAAGAAAAAGGAAAATGAACCCAAACATAGACTTGCAAGGCATGGCCTGTATGAGAAGAAAGAGATGTCAAGAAAGCAGCGAAAGGAACACAAGAACAGAAGAAGAAAGTCAGGGATGGCAAAGCGTGAGATGGAGATCGGATAACAAGCGAAGGAGTAAAGACTCTACACTGACACTGTCGGCAGCGATTGTATAGACTTTTCATAAGAGGATTAACAAAGACTTTTCATGTGAAAAAAAAATAACAATAAATAAAATGACATATCCATACTTTATAAGTGTAGATGCATTGGGGAAAAAAATGGGAAACATGAAATTTTTTACCGTAGTGACTTCTGGGGAAGGAACGGGTGGTATGAATGAATGACTTTCACTTCCTGTGTTTTGTGTATGCTTTGGTGGTGTTTGAATCTTGCACTGTGACTATGTGTTCCCTTATTGCTTATTTAACAGGAAACGGGGCCATGGGCTGCCACCTTTGAACTCTGTCTCCATGGCCTTCATTGCACTACGGAGTAGCTCATGTTTCCAGCTGCCTATCGTATGGGCCCTGGGTTCCCCTGCTTGTGTTAGATCTTCCAAACCTAACAAGCCTAAAACCAAAATAATGATCTTCTTATTACTCCCCACCCTCCATTCTCAATGTTCTATTACAGTGCCTGCCCACAACCCAGACTTTTCTAAGGGATGCTGCATTGCTCTCAGGCACCAGTGAAGGGACAGGTTTGTTAAGCCAAGTTGTGCCGGGACAACCAATGCCCAGGTAACTGGAAAGCTGGATTGAAACTCCTGGGCCAAAGAGTATCCCTCTGGGAATTATGAGAGTTAAGTTTATCAGTAAGGAGAAGACAGGGGAAGCAGGCTATGGCAGCAGCATGGTCCCCCCCGCCCCCCGGGTGTGCTCAAGGCCCCGGCCTGCTCTGATTCAGACCCACCTTCCATTCTGGCCTCCTGGAATTCCCATGCTGGGTATTAGTGGGGTTTCTCTTCCTTTATAGTCTCACTACATCCCTATAGTTAATCAGCCACTGACTTAAATTTCTTTTGCTGACAACTTAGCCCAACTAACTGTGCCTTCACCCTCTGCCCAGGCCCAACTCCAGAGTCTTAGATTCAGTGAAAGGCACCAAAATTCACTGTATTGGTGACGAAACCTGGCCAACCTTCCCTCTCTTTCTCCTCCTTCAAGCTCCTTCTCACTCTCCACTTCCACTGAAGCACCACGCCTACCAATTCTAGTTCATACTTTGCTTTAAATCTATCTACTATGTCTTCATCCCCATCTAAATACCCTCCATCCAAACCTTCTTCTCCTTTATTTCCTAACTCTGCAATGCACCCACGCTGGGAACCCTGTAGTCACCTTCACTGCTCCCTCACGTTCACGTCAAATCTGCTCCATCCAGCTCATGACTCTTGTTCCAATGGCATCACCCTAACCCCTTCAGGCCATGTCTACTGTCAAGTGACACAGGGAACAGAGGAGAGGCTGAGACTGGAGGAAGCACCCCCGTGGGGAAGTGAACAGCCTGCAAACATGTCCAGGCTGGGCTTAGTTCTTGTCCTTGAATGTCCACGAGGTGCCTCTGTGCCCTTTGTTGGGCTATTTGTGTGTCTCCTCCTTGAAAACCAACCAGGTATCCATTTAATACCTGTGAGTATTTTGTTGCATCCTGGGCTAGAGTGCCATGGTCTTACCTCACAGCAACCTCACACTCTTGGGCTCAAACTAAAACTAAAACGGGCTCCCTGCCTATACCATTAGTGGGGCCCACCATTCCCCAACACCAGCCCACCTCTGGCTACCAGGGGGTAATTGCACTTCCTTGAAAACACTTGTCTTGCCCTACCTTGGCTCCCAGTCTCATGGCTGCATTCTTCCTCCCTCACCAAACTCAATCCTCAAGATTTTTTTGGAATGAATTCACATGTTCCCTCCCTTTGGAAGCCTGCTACCTCTCCTTCAGCAGGCTGGGCTTCCCTTTCTCCAGAAAGAGAGTGTGCATAGGGGTAAGTGCGTGGAGTCTGGCACCAAACTCTGACACTGCTGCGAATGTGTTGTGTGATCTTGGGCAACATCCTTCACCTTTGTGTCTTTGTAGACTGGGGGACTGTAGTGAGGATCAGATGTGTTAATTCGGGGAAGTGCTTACAATAGTGCCTGGTGTACTGTAAATGCTCGGTGTGTGTTAGTAATGACCCTGATCCTGCCACAGCAGCATCAACCACTGAATTGTGCATCTTCCACTCTCAGCGCAAGTCCTCTGAGGCACCTTCTCTGACTCCCTATGGCAGAACTTGCCATGAGGCCCTAACCCTTTCGACAGACAGACCTACATTTTAGCAATTGCATGTATTATAATTGCTATTCTTATCCTTTTTTTTTTTTTGAGACAAAGTCTTGCTCTATTGCCTAGGCTAGAGTGTCATGGTCTTAACTCAGCAAACTCACACTCCTGGGCTCAAGCAATCCTTCTGCCCCCACCTCCCAAGGAGCCTTTGCACTTGGATATCGATCAGTCTATAGGCAACCACCATAAGAATTGGCTAATTTTTCTATTTTTAGTAGAGATGGGGTCTTGGTCTTGCTCAGGCAGGTCTCAAACTTTGGCTTTCAAGCAATCCTCCAGCCTCAGCCTCCCGGAGTGCTAGGATTATGGGCATGAGCCACTGCACCCCAGCCTGCTCTTCTCCTTAACTAGACTCCTTAGGCTTCATTGAAAGGGGCTTTAATATTTTTGTTTTTGTATTCACATTGTGTAACATGGTTAATGGCAAGTAGGAGGTATTAAATGGATGTTTGTTGCATGCATTATAATTGTGAATTTTCTGGCCTATATCACCCATTAGGCCGCAAACTCCTTGTATCCTTATTACTTTTTGTATAAAGAGAGGCAGGAGAGACAGTGGTACTAGGTCAGACTGAGCATGGACTTGAGCCAGATGGCCTCATTGAAATCAAGCAGGTCTGCTTCATAGCTGGTCTTATTCCAAGTAACTCAAGACTTTAAGCAGGTCTCATTCCAAGTAACTCAACCCACATCCCTAGCCCAGGTTCTCGCTTAACTGCAGTGTGGACCATCAGTGTTTACTTATGTTCTGTGCTTTTGTCCGGGCAGCTCCCCTGGACCTAGGAAACCTTTCCCTTTTATACACTTGACACATTCCCAATTATCTGCTAGAGGCATTCAAGAAGCCCGCTCTGATCTTTGTCCTGAAGGAACACTTTCACATACAGTGGTTCTCAACCCGTGGGTCGTGACCCACAGGAAATGTATTAAAGGGCCGCAGCATTAGGAAGGTTGAGAATCACTGTTATCATAGTATCTCTCCCAAGAAGCTACAATGTGCCTGTGCATTTGTGTATTTTTTTAAAGAAAAATTTTACAGGCTCAGTGCCCATAGCACAGTGGTTATAGCGCCAGCCACATGCACCAAGGCTGGTGGGTTGGAGCCTTTCCTGGGCCAGGTAAACAACAATGACAACCTCAACAAGAAAATAGCTGGGTGTTGGCGCGGGTGTCTGTAGTCCTAGCTACTTGGGAGGCTAAGGCAGGAGAATCACTTAAGCTCAAGAGTTTGAGATTGCTGTGAGCTGTGATGCCACCACACCCTCCTGAGGGTGACAGAATGAGACTCTGCCTCAAAAAAAAAAGGAAAAGAAAAGTTTTACTGGGTCATGGAAGAGGTAATACTGAATCAAAGCCAGGCAAAAAGAAACATCGCGATGCATCAAAAGGAAAGAATATTTATGGCTGTATTTGTGATGACGTGGGCCAAATCTTCCAAAAAGTTGGAGCAACTTTTCTTTAAAGAGTAGCCATTATGGAGTAGATGAGGGGCAAGGAAGTGAAGCTCTTGTTAATATTGGTAAGATCCTTTGAAGGTGAAGACTGGCAGGTGATAAGTGGTAAGTGTTGGATTACTATGTAATTAGGGGCCGGTTCTGTTCTAGATCATCTCCATCTCTTGGCAAAGTATCACATTGTTTTTGTGAACAATTGATTCCTTTCATTCATAACCTTTCCCTTCATATTTGTATGGTTCTGAGAGGCTCCATCACAGTCAACTGGATTAGGACGTCTTTAGATTTCATGGCAATGAAAACTTAACCTTCCTTTTGGTTTTTAACACAGGAGGACTTCAATTCCGTCTCTGAAAATGAAGCAAGCTTTCCCAGAATGTTTCTGTGGATCTTCAGTCTCTGAGAGACGTAGGTAGCAAGCCTACCGAGAACACCCCATGGCACATTGAAGAGTATTCCTGTCCACCTGCAATAAATACACTTGAGCTTCTTTTTTCAGTCACTTTCATTTTGTGGGCATTAGTTTGACTCTTCTGAGTCCCAACTTACTTTTCTGGATGAATTAGACTGCCTTTAATTTGCTGCTGGCTGCTCGTGTGGGGGTGAGCCTGCTTTGTTTCCAGAACTTCTTCCCTGTGGGAAGTTGAAGTGTTAGTGCCAATTTCTTTTTTCTTTTTTTTCCCAAAGAAGGATGGAAGAGTCAAGTTTAGTACTAAGGATTAACTCAGCAGTGGTTGCTAAACTCTTTGAAATCATTAGATGAAAAGCAAAAACAGATCTGTCCTAAGTATACATATCCTTGGTATTTTTGTTATTGCTGTAGGAATTTTCCATTCTGAGAGTAGGTTATTACTGGATAATTTTCTCTCTGGATTTATGATGTTACGTTTTATTTAGGAAACATGTATTTCTTTCACAAATATTCTTTACATTTCTTACCCATGGTAACTTTTCTCATCTTGGTAGAGGCTGAACCCTGTGGGATGATTCTCAGGTTTTTTTCTTTCTATTTGCATGCAATGTTAACATAAACCTAAGCAGGTTGTAGGGGCCAAAAGCCATGGGTGGAATCAAATGCCTTGCCACTTTGAAATGCTATCACATAGCTGTCATTAAATACTTCCCCTTTAGCGAATTCAGTAAAGGATTTTGGCATTTTTGACCGTTTCTTTCTTGAAATTCTAATTCTTAAGTTTCTGGGTCTGTCCAAGGATACAGTATCTGGGGCTGGGTAGGGAGTAGAAAGTCAGATCCTATGAGGTCAGCTGTT